AAACTAAAATAATGCTTGAGTTTTAGAGAGGAAATTATGCCAGTGACAAACATCTATATTTCTCATTCATTATATGTGTATTTTGTGATGTTTCTGAAGCAGAATTTAATAATAAGCTGTGGAGACAGCCATGGATAAGCTTTATCAAACCAGACAATTCAAAAAACCTGCAAGCAGATTATGTCAAACCCTAATTGATTTTATATTGATTAGCAGTGTCACAACTCTGTATGAAGGCACTGAGCAGCAAAACACACCACAAAGACAAGAGATAGCAAATATGTGGAAAATAAGTGACAGAACAGTTGAATTAACTTTATCTGATAATGCATGGGAAGACGACTCGACATTCAGGCAGAAAATATTTGCCATAAAAACCCTTAAACTAGGTAAACAGTTCATTAATACACTCAAGCTCACAGATGATTTAATCAAGTGCATCCTTGTAACTGTTTGCTATCCTGAGTAAAAGACAACAAAACAGATCTTCAAAATTAAATCCTGACATAAATATGGACCTTCTCATAAGGCAAAAATTCACAATGAGATGAGCATAAGCATTTCTCGATAACTCAATTAGCTTAAGAAATGTATGGTTTTATGGAGATCATCAACAAACTATTGCTTTTAGGAGCTAAAAAACCCTTTACATTTACCACTAAAAACTTAAGACTGTGTACATCAGGCAATACACAAATTCCAATAGCTCTATTACTATAGAATAGTGCCAGATTGCTAATAAAATGCACATTGTTATTCACGTTTATAAGCATACAAATAGATAAATGGATATCAGCTTATTTTTTAGAACTGCTTAGGGATATCTGAAAACATTTTTTACCACTTCATGTAATGAAATGAAATGTGTAATCTTCATCTGTACTTACACTACACAGTATACTTTCTTGCACACCCACTGTGTAAACTGGAAACATTTCCAAGAGAGAAAACTTTTACTGCAAATAAATAACAAAACTCTCTTTCTAACCTCTCTGTTGGTACTGCTTCGGAAATGCCTGTGCCCACATGGAACAGATCTACAAATTCACCTGGAAGCCCCTTTTTACGTTCCAGCACATCCCATGACATGGAGAGCCCACACCTCTCCATCACAAGGCACTCTTCTAGTTATGCAAACAGCACAAGGAGCTGGAGGAGACAAAGCATCGTCTCTCCAACTCAGATTGTCATAAGAAGCTGAGGCTTTCCAAAGCCTTTTGAAAAGTGTACAGTCTTTGGGAGAGTGGAAACGGAAGGGAAGATCAGGTCTTATTAGATGGTGTAGGCACTGAGTGGGTCAGCCTGAGTAGTAGCCTAAATAGTCCTGGGAGGTTCATGACACCACCCCTTAAAATGGAAGCTTAAGTCCAGTAACTTGCCCTGCAAATAGATTGAAACTGTTTGGCTGAGGTTGCATCATGGAGGAAATAAAGAGTTTCCAATTTTCCCCAGAAACAGGACTCATGAATCTCTGTAGACTACAGAGTGGGTCAAAAAGCTGGGGTAATGAAAGAGGAAAGTTAAATGCTGTGGATGTTCCCACTCTGCAGAGAGCACACAGAGCTCTGATAGTGCTGTCAGAGTCAGTCGAGGGCTCCCACTAGAGTTATTCTTTATTAGAGTTCCATTACTTGAAAAGGGAGCTAAAAAAGGGGATTATTGAAGATGAGAAAAAGTACAGCTTTTTCTGTACAATTACAGTAAGAAGCAGTAGCTAATGGTTAGGCTCATGTATATCTTCACACTTGATTTACCAGTTTTAAACCTGATCCATGGTCTCAGGTCCTCAAACTCTATACAATCTGGAAATTTCTTGTTGAAAATAATCAGGTGCCATTGTCAGCACCTAATGGAGAAATGCAACACTGTGGAAAACTATCAGCAATGTAGGTGTTAGCCAGCATCTTCAGAATAGTCCTACTGGTGAAGGATGTAGACTAAGGTGATGTGTCACTGATGTCTGTGTCTCCTGTTAGGGGCATCAATGAGCATGCTATGCCTGGTCCTCAAAATACATGGTGTTGGGACTCAGAAAGGATCAGAAACCAAGGGGAAATCTGTCTGGCTAAATACATTTAATGGCAGAGAGGAGGTTCTGTTTGGGTCTTCTTTTATATATCAAAGCGGCAAGTTGAAGATTGTGCTCTAAAAAATGAATCATGGAGATCTGGGTGTCGGATTGGGCAATAGCAGGTAACATTAGAAAATTAAAGTCTTGGCAGCAGTGCTAAAGTTGATGAGTGTAGTAGTAGATGTTTAACTATTTAGGATTGTTCGTATTAGACAGCCAGCAATTTTCACTGCTTAATAGTAACAAGTACGTTTTGCCAGATAGTTTTGTTTAAAACTAAGCGTTTTTAATGTTGGAGCCTTTCTAACATTCCACCAAAATCCATACTTTTAGAAATATATCCTCTAATACTTTGAAGTACATCCCTGCTGTGGATTTTCTTTTCTAGCAAACATGATGAGCATGCACTAGCAAGAGCTACTAACTGGGGAACTATAAGCTTCTCAGGTTTTTGGTCTACATGTACAAAAATTGGATATCTAAACAGGAAGGAAGCACAGGAAGAAACAGAAATGCTTACATTTGGCTTAGATATAATCCTAAAACACAATGAAATTCTTTGTATTTTCATTGAAACCTCCATCTAGTCTGGCAATTTCCAGGCTCACATCCTGCATCCCGTATTAAACAGAGACTTTATATTTGCTCCCTGTGTATCATGAGCGGTGGACATGGCTTAGTAGAGTAACTAGACTTATTTTTGCTAGCACTCATCAGATGTCTGAGAAAATTGTGAAGTACCAACTATTTTACGTTAAAAAGCCATGACGTAACTCAACTAGAACATAAAAGAGAGATTTTTGACTCTTCATATCTCTCAGATTACCTAAGTACAACCAAATGCATGGTTCAGAAAGACAAAGCTACACAAACCCAGGTGAGAGAGAATTATTTTGTGTGCAAACATGCTGCAATGACCTACCAAATACATGGTCAATTTTCTGCCATTTTTTATTAATCTTTCAGTCCAGGTTTGCAGACATACATATTTTTAAGTACCTGGTATTCACCAAATATATTAGGACAAATTACTTGTGGGACAGCAGTGAGGTAGTAACTAGGAAAGACGCTGTGATTTTAAAAACCTAATTCCATTCCTCTGTAGAAAAATGAATTCAACAAATAAGTGTCAGGACAACCTTCACAGTGTTAATACTGTAGATGCTGCCTCATTCACTTTCTATCCGGGACATTAATTTTCAGTTAGGTATTAAAATAATGGAAATTATTTAACAATGGTTAAAAGATGAGAAGGAAGAAGATTTCTGCGCCCCAGAAATCCACCAGCTCCGCCTGGGGTAACCTTTGATTCCTTACTACTGGGGCGGCTGGCACTGTGGACCATGCTGCCTTTAGCCAAGCACAGCAACACCCCAAGTTAAAACTCTTAGCACATGCTGTCCTACAGCAGGGAAGCTCCAACCCAGGGAAAGGTTGTGGGTATGAAGAACAATGCAGTGTCCTGTGAATGTCCAGGGAAAACTGCTGAATGTTTTTTAGTCCTCCCCAGTAGGCAAACTGCCCAATGTTGACGACCATGAGTCTTCCCAGATGTCCTCCATAGGGTGTAGCCTTTACTGCCTAGATGAAATTATTTTCAAAAAGTATTTCTTGGATCCTGATACCCAAAGAAACTGAGGGTTTTTTCCTCAATATGTTTAGGTCCTAGCCCACTGCTGATCTGAATCAGCCAGAGCTCTTTTTCTCACTTTTCTGGGAGTTGCCTTAAATAAAATTAGATTTCTGGACATAAGTAGCACTGATGCAATTCATGAAAGTACAAACTTTCTTGTGTCTCCAGGCCTCCCATACACCAAGTTTTGCATAAACAAATAATATTTTCTTTTTTAACATTCCTGAACTTATGTTCATTTACATTTATGTAAGACAAGATATGTACCAGCATCTTCACTTCAAAACAAAACAAAAAAATCTGAGACAAAAAGGTCATTTTCTTGGTTTTGATTTTAAAAGGATAAATAGAAAAAAATTAAGTTGAGCCATTCATGGAAATGGATCTGTACAACACTGAAACTATGCTGTTTCATACAAACAGATGCTACTGCTTCAAGTGGCTGGATGCCCTTGACACTTCCATGAGATCATGTTAAAGCTATGAGCAACTGGTAATGTTTCACGTATCTGTGCTTGAGGACCCCTAGGCTACTAAAGAGAAATGCAAAATAGCATGCACCACTGAATCACAGAATGGTTTGGGTTGGAAGGGACCTTAAAGATCACCCAGTTCCAACCCCCCTGCCAGGGCCAGGGACACCTTCCGTTAGAACAGGGTGCTCAAAGCCCCATCCAGCCTGTTCTTGAACACTTCCAGGGTTGGGGCATAATCAGACATGCCTTTGTTTTTAAAAGAGATCTTTCACTCTTTCGTCTAAAAAGGGAATCAGGATCTATTAGGTTTGAACTTTCAATCACCTGCTTTGCAATCCTTTAAAGAGATTTTTCAAGTTAAAGAAGGAAAAGGTATCGACCTGTTTTCTTGCTGTTTGTTTGTTTTTTAACAGAGATACAAATATTACTACAGCCGATTTCATCCTACTGGAACAGGCTTGCTTTTCAAATTATCTTGTCTTTCACAAGCACCTTAGGAGTGCAAAGCCGGAGTTGTCCACACCTAGCAGTTGAAAGTTCCAAAGTGGAGCAAAGGAAGGAGGAAGCTTCCGCCTGCTGCCGCCCTTACGCCTAGTCCCCAGGAGGGGGAAGCCGAGCTCCACAAGTTGCAGAGTTAAAGGGAATTAAACTGGCTACGATTTTTATTTCCTTAACATCAATCATTCTTAGGCTTGCTCCCACACACAGAGTTAAAATGCTCCTAGTGGCTACCCCCAGGGACCCTCACTTTGGGAAAGCAGCTTTCTAACTTCACTGAAAATGCTCCAAGTTTTAGGTCAGAGGGGACTTTTTCCAAAGCAATTTTTGTCTTGAGCAACAGGAGGATCAAGCCCAAGTGAACCACACTGGCTTTCTGGCTCTTCTCTCACCCACACATTCACGCTGCTCTGAGCTTTAATGAGGAGTCCTGAGCCCATGTGTTAGTTTAAATTAACTGAAATGCAACTGTTCCTGTTAAGCAGAGCCAACAGTCTCTGTCTGGAGTGGCTCTTCATACCGAGGAGGAGGATTGGGTTACTTTCAGATAACATCATTTTAACTGCTGGAAATGAGAAGAATGATTCAGTTGCCTGAACACTTACATGCCACTGGAGACACTCCAGTCTCCGGGGCAGGAGCAGCCTTCCTGTAGGTTCACATCATACCACCAGACCTGTCTCAGACACTCAAGGGCATCCACCCCAGCATCACTGCGCACCTTTGGGCAGCCAAATCCTTCACTCGGACATGCTGCCTGCTCACCTCACAGAGCAGGGTTTGGTGCACAGGCAGGTGTAAGGTGTAAGCAGTGCACAGGGTGCAGACTGAAGCACAGGATCTGGCTTAGAAAACAAAACCTTTTCATGAAGTACAGTAACCCCAACGAAGTGGCAGCTGTGTGTTTATCTCCAGAGTGTAAAACCATCACTTCTGAAGTCGTTACCTAGTATTTCAGCTGCTCCAAGAAAACAAAGCTCTTGTAACTGTTTGATGTGCTTCTCCAGCTGTGAGGAGCTCCAAGTAACAAAGGACAACATGTATTAGGTGGATCATTTTATTAAGAGCAGTCTGCAGGCAGACAGGGAGCAATCCCCACACAGAGGAGTCAGCCCTGCTGCCAAGCACCACTTTCAGATCTGTTCTCCTGGAGAATCCAAATCAAAAGCTCATGCCAAATAAATCTAATCAAGTACATACTATTATCCTCAGCAGACAACTTTAAATACTTAGACAATTACACAAAGCATTTTAATTCAGAGCAGAATCATCTTGAGAGTTACATGCCTTCATCTGCCTACGAGCAAAAACCAGGGTCCTTTTCCCTTTTGATAATATTGCAAAAGGTGAGCATACCTGACAAGCCTTAGGGTCCAAACACGGAATGAAACCATGTATTGACTAAAAAAATTCTTCCTCACTGGTTTTAATAAGGAAGCAGCACATGCAGTATCACGGAATCAGCTAGACTGAAAAAGACCTTTAAGATCATGAGGTCCAACTTTTACCCCAGACTGCCAGGTCCACCACTAAACCATGTCACTAAGGACCTCATCTACACGACAGTAGAAGCACATCTGACTCCTGCTACAGGGTGACTGGCACACAAAGCTGTCCCCTCCACCCCCCATTTTAATGCACTACAACTAGCCTAAAAAAGCCTGACTAGAAATAAAAAAAAGACTTTCTAATAAACTACTATTTAGCAAAAGGTGTTAGGGTTCTCCCACAATATAGCATTTCTAGTTTCCTCCTATATATGAGCCCTGAACTTTTTTATTCATCATACTGTCAACCCTTCCTCAAAATGACCAAAAGGAAGTACAGCATGAGGTATAAAAATCCTTTTTAATACAAAATTCTTAGAGAATATTTTTTGCATCCTAGTTCTCTGCTGTGACTATTTGGAGAACGCACAGCTTACTGGTTCTTGTGGGAAATGCCAGTACAACAGCACTATATATTATACTTGGCCCAGAATTTTTGGAGATTTCTGCTGGAAAAAATGACTTGTTATTGAGTATAAATCATCATGGAGTAGAAAACTGATTCTGTGCATGCCAATTTTTGCATAAAGTTAAATAAAATTTGGCATTGTGATTTACATTTCCAATATAGAAGCAGTTGCTTGAATAACACAGTTTCTAAGTTTATTCATGATTTAATGATATACAAGAATCACTGCAACTGCCTCCATTCCAGAAGCTTGTATTCCCCAGCAGCAACTGCTGAGTATTTTCTTCCAAATTAGCACAATTCAATGCAAAGAAAACCCTAAATATTCTGTTAGACTACTTTTTAATTATGCCTGTTGGAAAAATCCTTACCTATACAGAAACTATATTGACATCATGCAATTCAGTGTCTGACCACAAGCACACTCATTTCCCTGCCCATAAAAGTACCAATACCAGCTCTGTGGTGTAAACCCTGTACATTTGATTTTGTGGTATGGTTTCAAAATCTGAAGCTCTAGGTAATGGAAGTTTTTTCATGTTAGTCCTTCTACGAGTCCATACCTTTCCTAGCCGTGTCAACAAAAAAAATTGGGAAGAGAGGGTTTGTGATGCCAGACACATTAACCCTTCATACACACATATTCTTTCTCACTGGGGTTTTTAAGTGCTGTGCACAGCCTCGTCTGCTGACCACCTGATTTCGGGCTGGCAAGTGTGAGCATGGCACCAGAGCAACAGCACAAAGTCCTCTCTCTCCCTCTCACTTTGCTTTATTTTGCTGAATCTCTCTGGAGTGACTTATGTACAGACTCAAATAGCTCTATGCAAATTTAAGCTTATACATGTTATACAATATATAATATTGTATACAGTATACATTATTGTATATATACATTATATACAATATACATTTTATGCAATAACATGTACAACAATTGCATTTTTATTAACATTCTTTTGTGTGTGCCTGTAGACACCACCAGGTTTCAAGAAATGGCGTGTCACCTGCCATACTGCCTCATACCAGGGACCCAGTGTCACTTGCAAACACTGAGCACATCCCGATATTCATCTCAGCGTCTTCCCAATCTCATCCAGAGCCAGGGCCTGAAACAGACCAGGTGGGAGTGGCTGCTTCATGCAGTCTGTGGCCTTGTGCTGGCCTGAATGTTGCTCCCAGGATTCTCTCTCTGATACACATCATTAAACCAAAGTTACAAAAACTTTATGTTGGAAGTGGCATATTCACTTTCAAACAACTCCTACTGCTCTACCTTTCTATATTCAAAAGGGAAGATTTGAAAGCGCCTTTTCATGTGCTCAAGTCTGAGAGCCTTCACATGCCCTGTGCCCTTCCTGCCTCCCCCTGTACCACCCCACAGTCTGGCATGTCCACCAGCACTACCAGCTGCTGGCACTGCTGCTGGGGGAGGTTGGCTTTTCAAGTTTTTGAGCATAATCTTCTTTTAATAGGCAACACCAAGCAGTTTTCTGAGCAGTGCTCAGAAAATCCACTGCTCCCCCACATTACTCATGCTCAGAGATTGGTGGGTCAGTCCTGTCCCAACTGAAGCCGATTTTGTACTTCAGGGGTGACAGTTTTCTTTCAAAAGGAAGACCCAACTTATTTCCCTGCTCTTTAAGCCTCTCAGCTCCTGGCCTAGGTGGGGGCAGCAGGCTCCGCAGTGCATCTCTCCAGCCAAAACTGTGACAGATTAAATGGTGAGCTTGAACCTACCCAAAGTTTGAAGCAGAGGACCTACAAGGATGAGAAAGAGTGAAAGGCTAATACTCAAATCCTGGAGTCCATCTTGCACAAATCAAACCCAAATATTACACCAGGATCCAGACCTGAACTTCCTCCTAGCTGTGGGAAGTCCTAGACAAAGTTCTTGGTCTAAGTCTGTAATGGATTAATGGTATATTACTTTAAAATGGCACACATGCAACCACAGAGTCTGTGTGTGCCAACAAGCATCTGACTGTGCTCGTAGTTGTGGTGCACTAATCATTACATATGAACTAATAAAGTGAAAACATTCAGATTTTAGCATGGCTTGTGTTTATCACTTTACAGAACCTATTTCTTCAAGAATTTTCAACACTTTCATGAGAATTAGGTGATCCTAGTAACTGTTCTTCAAAGCCAGAAACAGCTCTGTATCTGATATTAACATTAAAAAGATTGTAAACCATCCATGAAAGCAAAAGCATTACAGTATTATTTGCTGGAGAAGCCCATCCCCACAGAGCTAGGATGCTGATTCACAGATAGCCTGAGAACCACCCGTTCATGCTGGCTTTAGCAGAAGTTGCTGACACTTGGTCTTCAGATCAAGAAGCAGATAAGCACTATCACAGCAGTACTCTAGGACAGCATGGGCTCAAAATGACAGCATGAGGGACTATTAACTGGAAAAAAAAATGCATATGTAATGGTTCATTTTGAAAGGCAAATGACCTGATAAGGGAGCAGATATCCACTAGAGTTAGCAAAAAAAAAAAAGAGGGAATGGTACTCAGGGTAACAGCAGTTAAAAAATAACCACCATTTGCTTGAAAGATATTGTTCAACTCAGTAATGTCAGAAACACCATTTTCTTTAGCAGTCAGGGTATTCTTTGATAAAAATGTCAAATTTTCAACCATGATTTTGAGTAATAATTTATGTTTCTAATTATAAATGTTCCAGAAATGCCAAATTGCCAGAAAATGTTGACTGGCTCTCATTTGCCAAAGGGAGAGAAGAGGGATGCCCTATCTAGTTCACAATAAGACTATGTCTAATGGCATCCACTGATGCCCCACGCAATATTAAAACCTGGCTGACATTGTAGCCTAATAATTGCAGTCAATTTTTCTACTTAAAAAGACAAAGGTCTTGACCATACAAAGAAGTCATGCAGAGAGCATCCTGAACATGATAATCGTAGGAAGCAACACACCATCTGTTCAGAGGTGATCAGCCAGGGTGTTTAAGTAAGTTTAAGAATCCTTCAGGCACCTACATGTTTGTTGTATCTATAGCTGTCATGTATTTGAGGCCAAACTTGGATTTAGATTTTGGGACCTCTGAAGACCCATTTAGATGTGAATGAATTATCATGACTTCAGTGGCTTAGTTTGAAGCTGCTCCTGTAAGACAGCACCTGAGTGGCTGACCAGCTATATAGGCTAAGGGTCTAGAGCCAACAGAGTGGACTATGTCCCACTTCTGGCCCTAGTTTTTCTGGTTAAACACTCAGCTAATTCTATCACCCTCTTGGTTTTACTACTGAAAACCAATGTATAACCCATTATGTGTATGTACTTCAGCACCATATTAGGATCTGATCCTCTGGTAGACCAAGTCCTCTAATTTCCTTGGTTTGGAACTTTTAAACATTTTCTCACCTGACCTGAAACTTCATAGTATTGTCCTCCAGCTGAAAGAGACAAAAATATCTCCGCCATCCCTGTTCAATAGTCAGATACCAGTGATTTTAAAAATACATACTTTCCAATTACACACAATTCTAGGAGAAATGCAGCCACTAGAGAGAATTGCCTCACATTTCCTGCATGCCCAGAATTTTTATTTTCTTGAGAAGAAGTCTCTTCCCAGAATGGTATCCCATATTGAATAAAATTCACATGTAAACTAAAAAAAAGAGATTCGTCATCACTGCCCTTAGCTTGGTATGCAATTGAAATCCTATTAAGCCATTTTGAAATCTTCCCTCAACAAATAAAATATGCTTATTTCAATTCTTCAAAGCTGACAAAAGACAATAAGGTCACAGTTGTATTTAGCTAAGTCACAAGCAAATAGTGTTTGTTTGGATGTAATCATGACTAAGCTTCAATAGCTATTTCTACCACAGTCACTATAAAAACGTCCTTGCACCTTTTAACGACATGGTAAACATTCCTAATACAATAGAGTCATACAATAACACTGTCTACTGGCATGCTTGAAATACAGGCCTAACAAACTCTTCCCTCACTTGGACTAATAGTTCCTAGAGCACTAAGGGAACTGCTCAATCAACATTTGCAAGTACAGTTATACAGTAGACACGTAATGACTGTGGCCACCACTGACTAAAAAAAAGACTGCCTCTCAGATCAGGGGCTGTCCAGAATTTATGAGATTTCTGAGACTTTTCAGTATTAAGTCCTGGTCCAGAGTTCACTGGAGTAAATAAGATCTTCATGTTGACTCTCAATGGCTTTGACTCAGATGTAGACTGCAACTTTCCTTATTCATATTTATTCCACGTTCCTGTAAGACAAACCCATCAGCTTTTTTAACTTCCACAACCATATTATTGTATTTTTTTGCTACTTGGCTGGAAGACAGAGACCTCCAGAAGTACCCATCAGGTCTTTTACATAATCACTAGCATATAAAAATATTTTTCTTCTTAATATTTTCAAACACTTACCTAACAATATTCATTTATAACTAAGAACAGCTAAATGTTTCTTGTTTTGAAAAGGCCATAGAAGATTGTGAATCTGAGAAAGGAGCAGGATTTCTCAGTCCACAAGTTTAAAGGGTTTTTTTTTCTGAGTCTTGGTGAATTAAGGGAAAAATCATACTGTAAACATACCCAAAAGCTTTCTAAGGGTTTTTTCTAAAACCGTTCTTGAAGGGTCTTCTACATCTGAATAGAAATAGGATAATAATCAGAAATTATCAGTCAGAATTTCAGAAATCAGAAATTGTAATCTCCTGAGAGCTGACAGGAAAACAGAAAACAAAGCAATCGTCATCAGTAAAATCCCATCTGTACGTTACTCTCTTGTTTTGGGCAACCTCAACCCACATCCAGTCTGACAACAGACAAGAGGCAGGCACAGGACCAAATCAACCAAGTTAAATTAGAGCCATGCTATTACTGTACTGGATAATTGTTCAAGACAACTGCATTAGCACTCAAGGAAAGACCATACAGACCACTTTCAAAGTAAGTACCATCACCAGCTGTGAGGAGACCAAGCTCTGCTGGCACCTTCTAGATGCTGGCCACAGACTAAAACACTTTGTAGCCTTGGCCCTGGCTAAGAGTCCCTTGCATTCTTGGCAACGGCTGCTGCTGAGGGATGAGTGCAGACAGTGATCTGCCTAACCAGACTTCACTCCTCTCAGCATGCTACACCCCCTTGAGAGAGTAATAATCCGCCCTGTCTCTGAAGGCAGCTTCAAAGGCAGCCCAGCCACATAGCCAACATGCATTCAATAGCTGGACCTCATCATACTGCACAAACCCAGTGAAACACCACCGATTTCTATAGCACCCTCCTAAGAAGCTTTTTAGATACTTTCTCAGTCTGCCACAGGTCAGCAGAAAGTTAATCTTTTCTACAAAATATGACTCAGACAGGAAATGTTCAGGGCCATGATACTAGAGTGGCAGATAACATCCCCTGAAGGACTCCATAAAGACTTTCCAAAGACTTTTTTCCCTCCAGCAGGAAGAAGAATGCCAGATGGATATCTTCTGCTTGGCCAAGAGCATACTGGACTGGCTCCACCCCAAACCCCAGTCAGAGACATGAGCCAAAAATAAGATTCTCAGGGAAAATTAAAACACTGTTGAGGGTAATACAGGAGCAAACACATCTAGGAGTCAAGAGAATATTAATAGGCCGATTTACTGAAGTTTGTAGCTGTCTCGAAAAAAAAAAAAGTATTACTGGAATGAAATCTTATTTAGAAATGGAAAGAGTAATTCCTTGATTAATCCTAAGGCGTAAAGTTACAAACGATTGTAATACATGTCAGATATGTATCTTATACTCTGGTGTAAATAGCAGAACTTTCAGGGACAGATAGATCCCAAGTAATCTTCAATGAATTCCATTGTTGACGAACAATGCAACATTTCCACTAAGAATGGGTGCTGTCAATCCATCTTACAATGAATGATTTGGGCACTCAGGCTCTTTCCCAGATCCTTACAATTAGCAGCTGTACTGACTCAGAAGTCTGCAACATTCTGCACAACATTTTCCATTATGTCACAGAGTAACTACTGCACCATTTTTGTCTATGTTTTCAGAGTCTCTTCTGCTTTTGTGGTTATGTGGGTGGACAGGCACGGGCAGCAGATGCGAGTCGCAGCAAGGAACCTGTATGAGTGCGTAGCATGGGCAGAGGAAGTCGCTATACATGCATGCTCGACTGAGACCCTTCCAACTGTGATTCCAGGAAACCCCTGCATGGCCTTAAGTGGAAAAACAGGTGTTTGGATGGCAAATTTACCATGAATAGGGAAACTGGATATTCTTACTCCATATCTTCTCACACTCTAGTCCAGCAAATTAAAATCTGACTGAAAAACTCAGTATGGCATGCAGACAACAAAGCAAGGGGATTTTGAATTGCATCAGTGATGTGTGTTGTGTTGCCAATGTATTACCATGGTTTTCATTCCCACTGCTTTTTTTTCTACCTTCCTATGCTCATGGGTGGAAGTTTTCATGAAGGAAACGGTCGAGGGAAAGATACAGCATTTTATCAAAATATCATCTTACCTTTCTTGTGGATCCATGCTGGCCTCATACACACATACATACATATGTGCATCTCCCTTGCCATAGTCCTGATATGGAGCACAGTGTGGATTTTATCTGCTGTGCATTATATCGGCCCATGTGTACGGGCAACATGCAGAAGAACTGGGATTCCTTTTCTCCCCCAAAATACAATTAATGAAC